CCCGCAAGGCCTGGCCGAGAATCCTTTCCCTGGCTACTCACCCGGCGGTGGTCCGGGTCTTCGGCGGCACTTCGGCCGTGGGCCCTTCAGTCGCTCGGGGTCTTCGGCGGCATTTCGGCGGCGGGTCCGTCAGTGCTGCCGAAGACGCGGAGCGAGTGAAGGACCCACCACCGCCGCAGACTCGGAGCGCTGCCCGGTGAGTACAAGCGCTGCAGCGGATGGCGCCTTTTTTTATGTCCGCTCCCCCGCTTTGCCCCAGGCCCCCTGAATCCTCTGGGTGGCCCCGTAAATCAGCAGGGGCTGTGGCCCCTCTCTCAGTTCCAAGGCAGGGCAGCTGGGCTCATTAACTGCCTAGCAGCCAAGTTGGGGAGTCGGCCAGCAGCTGTCGGAGCTGGGCTGGCCCCTGACAATCGCACTATGCACATGGGTTTTAGAACAATTTCAGTTGTTGGGTGGGGAGACCTTCACCTGAGGAACCACTTGACCAAATGACCCCAACTTGTGCCACTGACTCGACGCGTGGCCCTGATGTGACACAGCAGCCCTGTGGCAGGGTGGTGGCACCTCTCGAGATAGTTACACCTGGATTTCCCGTCTAGCAGGGGGACCATGTCTATACACATTCTGCCGTTTGGGGCAAAGTCTCATTTTCAAATGTATGTTGTCGTTTGGGCACAGCTTGGTTTTTTGGTAGCAGTGTGTGTGTGGGGGGGACGACATCGATTGAGATTTGCTATGAGTTTTTTTTTCCCAGTGTCCCACATTCCTTCAGACCCCTCTTCCAAGGAAGTTCAGCACTTTGATGGGGGTTGAAATCAGTGGGGGGGCAAACCCTTGGTTTGTGTAGACTGGATGAGTTAGTGCAGAAATTGCAGTGTATTTTCTGCATGTTTCTCTCGTGATACCCCTAAGATACAGGTCTGACTGAGGCCTGTATCCTGGTGCCGCATCAGCCACTGGGCTCCTTATACCCGTCCTTACGATAGGGCTCTCCGTTACGGATGCCTGTCCTGAGGCGTCATTAATGAGCGTCACAACTACTTGCTTTTCTTTGATCACACTCAGTCCCGTTGTTCAGGAAATGGGTGAAGCGCATGCGGCCTGGTTACATTATTCTAATGCTGCTGCTGGCTGGACACTTGTCTTCCTTCTCTTTAATTAATGCTAGTTCCCTTGACAACGCTTCTGACCTAAACTCCAAGTCTGCCTGTGGATTTTCAAGCACTTAGGAAAACTGGCTGTTGAACAGAAAGCAAGTCACAACCTTAACTATGTTGATGCTGCTGCCCCCCCAGGATTTGGGCCCCTAAGTGCCCAGTTGCTCAAAGGGGCTGAGCCCCGAGCAGCTCCCAGTGACTTCAGGTAGCGTGGCTCTTGCTCAACAATTTCAATAACCCAGACGCTTATTTCAGTGCCCACAAGTAGGCCCCGGACATGGAAAATTCTGGCCATAGTTCACGTTGTGCCCATCAGCTGTGTTGGTGAAACACATATTTTGTCAATGCTGCCCGGGGAGGAGCCCAAGACCTCCCAGTGCATGTGGGGTCCTGGCTTGGTATCCGTTCGGCTACTCGCCGCTATTCCCCACCCTGACACCGTCTGCCCTCCCCAGAGTTGTGCTACAGAGTGAGGATCTTCCGGAGACCGTCTGCGTTCGTAACCAGGCCAGTGCTCTCAGAGGCTCTGCAGGCAGACGGGGATGATACATTGTCACTGTACAACCTTCCCACCAGCAACTGGAGAGGGTCACCAGCGGCTGTGAGCAGGTACCCCTGCCACAGGGAGGGGCGTGGGAAGCCATCGGTGCAGCCAGGACCCTCCCAGAGGCATGGACAGCGTCACTCACCTGATAGAGCAGCTGCACATAGGGGATCTGATTATTTATCATGCGCTCGAACAGGGAGAGGCCGAGGAAATACTTCTTCTCCAAGGTGTAATCGGCGGGTTTGGGCCGCAGCTGGAAAACACGGAGCCAGTTCTGGGTGCTGCACACACAGGACACGCAGCGCTCGGCCATTGGGAAGGGGCTGGATTTTGATATCGGTGACCAGGTGTGACAATGCAGTTCTGGCGGAACCCCACTGAGAGTGCCAACTCAGGACAAATTGCTCAAACAGGGCAGTTACAGCCCAAGGCTGGGGTTTTTCCACCTCTAAGGCAAACCAAACCAGCCAGACTAAGAGGACTTCGGTCTCACCCCCC